GAGCAAAGAAAATGGTAAACTTGTGGATAAATCTGAACAAATAAATACTGCATTTTTAGCTATCCTAATTTGTCGGTTTAAAAGCAAGACAGAATTAAAATATTGGAGCAAAATGGCATACAAATTAGGAGAGAAGATGATCTATACTAAAGCATTCTATGGTCCATAGTTAATGATTAATTTTAGACTTTGTTGAGTTAAACACGTACTTTAAAATTTACCACTAGGATTAGAAATAGATAATACAACTGCTAAATTAGTAGAGAGGAAAAATATGGAATCAGAAGAAGGGGAAAAGCCTCTATCAACTCAAAAAGCAGTAGGAAAAAAGAGGAAGAAAACACCAAAAAAAGCGTTAACAAATGAAAACATAAAATAAGATGGCACTATCAAATCCAAAAGTATCAGTAAGCACAATAAATGTAAGTGGATATAACTATCTAGTTAAAAGTCAATGATTGCCAGTCTGGATTTTTCTTTTTAAATGGAGTCTTGTTCTGTTGCCCAGTCTGGAGTATAGTGGTGCAATCTTGGCTCACTGCAACCTCCAGCCTCCTGGGTTCAAGCAATTCTCCTGCCTTAGCCTCCCGAGTAGCTGGGATTACAGACACCCACCACCATGCCTAGCTAATTTTTGTATTTTTAGTACAGACAGGTCTTCACCATGTTGGCCAGGCTAATCTTGAACTCCTGACCTCAAATGATCCACCCACCTTGGCCTTCCAAAGTGCTGAGATTATAGGTGTGAGCTACTGCGCCTGGCCTGGACTTTTTTTTTTAATGACAACACAAAATTGAGCAATATACTATTCAAAGACACACCAAAAACATATGGACACAGAATGAGTGAAAGAAAAAGGTATCAGGAAAATACTAACCAAAATTGAACATGTTCTGTGGATTTGAAGTACTGAAGTACTGACTCAAGAAAGAATGCCACTTTGATGTTCTCAAGATCGATCTAATAAGAATCCATAAAATTTCCACAACTTTGTTGGAGAAACAAAAGAAACATCAGTCTAATGTCCTACTCCCTCCTGCAACCCTAGCAAGACATACTTTTGCTGAATTACCTGTTTAGAACCACTATGAGGCTGGGCATGGTGGCTCACGCCTTTAATCCCAGCACTTTGGGTGGCCAACACGGGCAGATCACCTGAGGTCAGGAGTTTGAGACCAGCCTGGCCAACATGGTGAAATCCTGTCTCTACTAAAAATACAAAAATTAGCCAGGTGTGGTGGCGCTTGCCTATAATCCCAGCTACTTAGAAGGCTCAGGCAGGAGAATGTCTTGAACCCAGGACGGGGAGGTTGCAGTGAGCCAAGATTGCACCATTGTACTCCAGCCTGGGCAACACAGCAAGACTCCATCTCAAAAAAAAAAAAAAAAAGAACTACTTCGAGACTCTTTGCCATCCCAGCACCCAAATCCTGACCCCTGAACTCAGACACACATCTGCAATTATAGTATTAACAAGTCTAAAATCAGAGCAAGTCAAGAAATACAAACACCATGCTTTCCTTGACCAAATGGTTCACAGTTCTTCTGCCCTGGTAGAGAATGGCTGGTGTTCACACATATGGTATCCCTATAGATATACCTGGAGAAATGTCCAGCCCTGAGGGCACTGTCTGTTACTCCACTCTTTCTCTTCTGCTAAATATCAGAATGCAAATGAGAATGATATTACAGTGATCATCTCGAGTTCCCCATATTCTATGAAAACTAAAACTTTTTGCAAATTTCAGTACAACATTATTAACAACCATTTCCTTGTGACACACCACTCAACTGACTATGATGTCATCACTGGCTTGAACTATATTTGACCTGTTATTAATCCTTACTTTGTCTAGTTCTGGTATTCTCCACGCCCTCGAAAGCACTCACCCTAAATCTTCTGACTCAGAAATCCACAGGCTCTAGGCCAGTAGCTTTCACCCGTGGTTGCGTATCAGATTCAGCCTAGATCCTAGCCACAGAAATTCTGATTTCATTGTTCTGGGGAAGATTCCTGGCATCAATATATTTTTTAAAGTTCTCCAGGGCCACACACCCAGCTATCTTCTCCCCACTTTGATCTGCTATCATCTCAGAGTAAAAATTCCCCTTCTTTGCTGAGATGCTAGTCATACTATACTACTGTGCTTACTTACTATACTACCTATACTTACTATACTTATTTATATTAATATTAATACTTACTATGTTACCATGCAAGGAAGGATTCCTAGTCATCATGAGCCTCCTTCTCCTCAATTCAGTGCTGTAACTAACAAAACTATACTGGAATCCACTGACATGTAAATCATTAGAGTCATAGAGGGCCAAGGTCTATACTGGGTCTCACAGAACTAGGACCAGCACTCTGAAACGTCTTTTTAGTGGTCTGGCCTTCTTCAAGAAGGCAGACACAGTGCCACACCCTTCTGACACCAGGAAGAGCCAAACCAAATGGTCCCTTAGTCATTCCCCACTCCTTTCCTTTGGTAAAAGGCACTGCAGAGTAAAGACTTTCATTAAAAAGTCTAGGAAGCACAGCAAAATGTTAACAATGGTTCTCCCTGAGTGGTAGGTTTATTTTTATTTTTTTCCTTTTCTGTTTCTCTGTGTATGCCAACATTTCTAGAGTGAATATGCATTGCTTTTATAATTAAAATAAACATAGAAATAATCGTACCCACCCAAAAAGGGGGGAATGAGTAAAAGATCTGGACTGTGGCTCTGTGTGACCTGGGTGTGTGGCTTTTCCTCTCTGGTTAGACTAGATGCTCCCTCAGGGCCCTCTTTCCCGCAACATTCAGGGACCTTCATTATCCCTCTGTTTATTAGACTCACAGGGAACCCCATACCCACACTGTGAACTCATGATCTGTCATTCAGGTTTCTCAGGCAAAATCTCAAGACCCTGATTAGCTCCTGGATGAACTGTAATAAAAGTGAGATGCCACAAAAGACCCTGACCGTACTAACCACTCTGAAGTTACACTACCTCTCAAAGCCTGGCCCAACGGAGACCCACATAGCTCAGGCTCACCTTTCTCTCTGGCCGGGTAAGAATAACCCAACAGGCCTTGCTGCAGGAATTAGAAGCAGGAGGCATTCACACTCCTTATCATGCTGGGTTTGGCTTAACTTCCAGGGTCAATGCAACAGCAGGATCTACAAGCAAATCCTGGGAGGACACAGGGCAGCTGCGTCACCATGGAGACAGGTTACCATAAGCCCCACAGGTTGTCTGCAGTGTTTCAAAGAGATATTCACAACCTGGGACAATAAAGGAAGTTGGATCCGGGAAAGAAAAACTACAACCAATCCCTGGATGACTCTCAAAAGCAACCTCCTGAGTACATTCTTGGCAACAGGGAAAGGTGAAAAAAACTAAGATTTAAGCACACAGTGTGCTCCCAGGTACTGGTGCTTTATTAATTCCTAAGTTGTGTTCTTTCCACTCACTTTTATGTAGAATGCATGGAGACTCACTTTTATGAGTTTCCTAGTTTGCAAATGGAGGGAAACCAAGGCTCTGAGAGGCTAAGTAGCTTGCCGGAGATCACAGAAGTGACAAGCAAAAGAGCCAGGATTTTATCTCCCCTGGGCTGGATTTAACTTGAAGCTGGGTATAACCTGAAAGCTTCCCCTCCACCTTGCCTCAGCGGGCACCCTCGGGGTTTTGAGGAGCTAAGCATGCGTTAGGCTGGTGAGTGCAGGAACTACTATCAATCCTAACTAGGTTTTACTCAAAAAGACTAACAGTGAAAAATGCCTCAGGCAGAAGCATGAAGCTAGGCATGACGAGATCCCCAAAACAGGGAGGACAGTGGAAACAGTGGGGCAGAGGTGGGGCATCCTCATTCCATCATTCATGGTCTCTCTGAAAAAGGTACCATGGAGCAGGCCCCCAAAATCCTGAGATCAGCATGGTGCCAAGTGGGCCAGGAGGGCCATAGTCCCTCCAGACCAGTCCTACCACATTCCAGCTGAGGGGCCTTGGGTGGGTCACCTATCTTTTCTGAACCTATTTCCACACTTGTAAAGCAGGAATGTCTTGGAGGGGAGAGGAGTGGCAGGTGCCTGGTGCACACAGTAGGCTGCCCCCACCAGCTCCGATGGGAACCCCCTCTTTGATCCCTCTTTTCCTCAAAGTCTGTAAAGAGGGGGCTCAAAAAAGGACTTGGAAGATCCCTGACACCTCGAAGAAAAAGTGAGAGCCCAGGAAGCTCAGGGGCAAAGGTGGAAGCAGCCGCCAGTCCTTCCTCCTGCTGCCAGCGTGTGCCCTGGATCCTCACCTAGGCAGGGGCACAACCTGCCCAGCCAGTAGCTCCAACAGGAACTAGGCCTCTTACCATGCTGGCTCCAGTCCAGCACCACCCACATGAGTGAGCTGGGGTGGATTACGGCCAGAAGGAGCCCTTCCCACCCTGTGCCCTTTCCCGCCTTCCTCCACCCAAAGCTCAGAAAGTCAATGCCCAGGGAGAGCGCAAGCAGGCTTTCTAGTGCTGAGGGGCCTTCTAGCCACCTTTCGCCTCACCTGTCCGGGGCTCCCTCGCATCCTGTTTGTCCCTTAGGCCCTGGGACACACAGATGAATGAATGGAGCCGGTCCCCGCCCGGAGTTGTCAGTTTCACGGAGGCACTGCAAGCCGGGTAGAGCGGGGTTGTCCTGTGGGTGCTGGGGGTTCCTCGCCTTAAACCTGTCTGCTTAGCCCTGACCCCCACCTTTTCAGGGAGATGATAACTTCTTAAGGAGAAGGGAGCTAAGAGATCACTTAGTAACAGACTTGCCAATTTCTGGGATTTTTTTTTTTTTTTCTGCTTTCGTCTTTTTTACTTTCTTGCCTCCCCGCCCCCATATGAGCTCTTACACTATCTTCTTCGGAGAGACTCAGGAAGACGCGCCATCCTGGAGACCCCAGCTCCCCGCCCTGCCAATGCTCTGATGGAGAAACTGAGGCCCGGGGCTCTGAGGGCGGGCTTCCTCCCCCGAGATGTGCACTCACAGCGGGTTCCAGCGCTCGGGCAGGCGGCGGTGCAGTGAGATGCGGTCGCTGAGGTAGATGTTAATCTGGTGCAGCCGCACGCTCTCCTCCTGCAGCCGCAGCTCCTCGCCCTGCAGCTGCAGCC